TATTCGAAGTATACCTGTCAATGGTGGTCAAAACCAAATATCCCAAAATTATTTTCTTGTGTACAGGGTGGCCCAATAGCAAATTAGGCAAATCACTTATTTTTTTTTTAAATGGAATGACCCAACTTTTTTTTCCAATTTTAGGTACTCTATGGTCACTAGTGCATACCCACAAAATATTGTTTCTAACATCCTACCCATTTCGCAGAAAAAGAAGAAATACCAAAAAATATTACATTTTCAGACGCCTATTAAAATATGCAGTGGTCTCTCGAATTTGACGTTAGAATTTAAAAAACTGCAAATGTATAAAGCCAATAGACCAAAAATTTTTTTAGACCAAGTTTTAATTTTTTATTTTGTACAGGGTAGTCACAAATTAATTTCAATTTCCAAAAATTTCTAGGACATTTTTTTCAAATTTTTCAAATAGAACACCCTGTATTACTATTCATCGATGAAACGAGAATTTTATACCCTTCGACTTCCCCATGTACTTTCCTATACCTATCTGTCGTCGTTTAAAAGTAAATTCCAAAAAGACATTGATCTATCAAAAATCCAATTTCTACCAGTGGTTTTATTGAAAGTGAACATTCAATCAAGTAGGCTGGGTCTTAATGAAGTGTCAGATTATTTATTAATGAAGTGTCAAGTTATTTTTACTGATCGCGATAATTCTTCTATTAATAATGAATTTTACGAAAAACGAATTAATTGACATGGTCTATGTTTTGGGAGAATCCGACAGAAATTGTTTATTGGCAAAAAGAATTTATCATCAACGATATCCCGATAGACGCATCCCTGATCAAAAAAGTTTTGAAAAGTTACATGAAAGATTTACCGAAACAGGAAATGTTGCTTATAAAAAACCAATAATTGACAAACGTGCTACTGATAATGATAACCAATTATCTGTAATTTTGACAGCGATAGAAGATCCTCATGTAAGTCAAAAAAAGATTGCCGAAGTAGTAGGTATAAGTAGAACATCCGTTAGAAGGATTTTAAAACAGCATCAATATCATCCTTATAAAATACAATTGCATCAAGAGCTGAAAGACACCAATTTTGATAATAGAATGGTGTTTTGTAACTGGGCACAAACTAAACTGCAACAAAATCCATTTTTTTTTATAGAGTGCTGTTTTCTGATGAATTTACATTCCACAAGAACGGATTCGTTAATAGACATAATTTCCACTATTATTCCACGGAAAATCCTAACATCATCAGAACACATAGCCAAGAAAGATGGAGTGTAAATGTTTGGGGAGGTATAATTGGGATCATGTGATTGTGCCGTATTTTTTTGAAGGCAACTTAAATGGTCTGATGTATTTAGATTTTTTAGCAAATCATCTTCCTACTTTACTTGAAAACATTTCCCTTGCTGTAAGACTAACAATGTGGTACCAACATGATGGGGCAGCAGCGCATTTTTTACGCAAAGTGGCAGATGAATTAGATGAAAAGTTTCCAAATAGATGGATTGGTAGAAATGGTCCAAAAAAAATGGCCAGCTCGATCACCTGACTTCATTCCATTTAAAACAAATTAAGTGATTTGCCTAATTTACTATTGGGCCACCCTGTACACAAGAAAATAATTTTGGGATATTTGGTATTGGCCACCATTGACAGGTATACATCGAATAAATCGTTAAGATTTGCATAGTAGGAGTTATAGAACTACGACAGAGGTTTGGCCAACCCTGTATACGTCTTATATACATTTTTGCATATTTTTTTTAAAAAGTATGTCAACATTTATATATCTATACCCTCCCTAAATGACGGGAGGGTCTGGACGATTAATTAATAAGCAATAATATTGCGCAAAATATTTATTTGACAAACACATCTTTAAAAAAAATGTCTATAAAATAATAACTTTAACATTAAGATAAGCTGTACATGGTAAGATCAACATTAAAATATATCATATCTAAATACCGGGCACTTCGGTCTGTCAAAATATTTGGTAGTTTCAAAATCACTTCTTCGTAAGACACAAATGCTGGGGACTCTTCACAACAACTTCTTCTATTTGAGCGGCGGTAATGTCTAACACTTTACAAACCACGAAATTGTGAACTTCAAGTTTTGTGAGGTTCTCATCCTCATCCTGCTCCAAATCCAAGTCTGAGGATGAGTCTTTGTAAATCACTTCTTCTTCATCGGAAGATGAGTCGCTCATAACTTTTTTCTTTACCTTCTCTATTTTATTTTGATTGGTTGCTGGTCTCTTTTTTATTAATTTCTTTTCCGCAATTTCATCGCATTCTGAAGTATTGGTTGCTAGTATGGATTTTCTTTTTACTGGACTTTTTCTAGTGGATTTCCGTTCTGAAGCTTTCGGGTACGGTCTTATTTTAGATGGCGATACCAAATTTCGCTTGTGCTTAATTTCAACTGGAATTTGGAACCCTGATAATGACTGTATAGAGGAGGTTGATGGTAGTTATGCATCTAGTTTATTGTTTAAAAACTTGTTTTTTGTTGGAGGTGCTAGCCTGTCTGTGACAAATGAGCAAAGGAAGTCTTCTTCGCTAAAAATATGTTTATCAAACGGCCAAATTCCAGTGTAACGGAATTCAGATTTTATGTTTGAGGGAATTGCAGATCGATCCCAAGCTTTCATGCATATTGGTGCCAGATCATAAATTGACAACGTCTGTCCTGGATGAGACAGCATTCCGTCATCTGCCCCTTGGTTGAAACATCTTTTGAATGGGTCGAAAATAGTCCTATCTAAAGGTTGTAGTTTGTGGTGTGGAAGAGTTAGAATTGTAATACCATTATCTTTGCAATAATCAATTACAGGAATAGATAAATGGGATTCGTGATTGTCCAATATAAGAATGACTTGGCGTTCTTTAGAACATCGAACATGAGCTACAAAATGTTCCAAAACTCGCAAAAAATTATCGCTGGTCATCCATCCAGACGAATGAACTAAGCCGGTTGCGCCTTACTCGTCTGGAATACCACTTAGCATTCGATGTTTGTCAAAAATTTTTTCTTGGAAGCACCCACCCTGCTATTACAATTCACCTCTCTCACGCAAAACGACCTTACCCACTTGATGCTGACCTTTGATGGCAACCACTTTTAGCGTTTTTTGGACTGTTGTAACTCCGGTCTCGTCCAAATTAAATATGTCTGATCCAGTGAATTGTTGCCTTTTCAGAACCTCCTCTAAATTATCTTTGAAAGAATAGTTTATAATAGGTTCTATACACATGTGTCACCCATATTAATTGATGAGCAACATGGCTTTATATCAATAAAAAGTCAACAATTTAAAATGTATGTGTATTTAACGATTATGTCGCTAACACTATAACACACGGTCAGGTCGATACAATATATACTGATCTAGCAAAAGCATTTGACACAGTAAATCATCATGTGATAAACAAATTACAAAACATATTCAGCAACGATCTAACTCGGTTAATAAAGTCGTATCTAACTAATCGTCAACACTTTGTTGGATTCAATGTCAGTAATTCAAAACTCTTCATAGCGAAATCCGGTGTACCACAAAGGTCGATTCTGGGACCACTACTATTTGTCATTTTTATCAATGATATAAGTGATTATATTAAACATTCTAAATTCCTATTATAGGCAGATGATCTGAAGATGTTTAGACAAATCACCTCTGCAGCCAAAGAGATACAACAGCAATATCCAAATACTGTCATATCAACGATCTCTCATTCAATATACCTAAATGTAATATAATCACTTACACCAGGAAGAAGAACCCCATCATAACGGATTATAAAATTTACAATACCTCAATAAAGATATCAAACGAAATCAAAGATCTAGGGGTGGTTTATTCTTCAAATTTTAATAAACATAACATTAACAACAGACTGCTATAGAAGACTCGTATTTATTCTCGGGGCTTGCCATGATTTCTCTACCGAAACATGCAAAGTTCTTTATAATGCATTCGTACGATTTTAGAATATGCCTGTATAATTTGGTCACCCAAAACAATCCTTTATAATGATACCTTGGAAAAGTGCAGAAGTGTTTTGTCAGAATTCTATACATAAAAAAATATTGAAACTACCCCTTACGTATCTCTAACCAGAGCCAGTTTATAGATTTTAATAATAAAACACTATTTAGCAGAAGGAACAAAGCCCAATTAACATTTATAACAAATATTGTATATGGAAATTTTAATTTACCCGAATTACTAGCCTCCATTCGATAAAAATACATTTTAACAAAAACTATTATAACTTATAACTATTAATAACTTAATATTACACATATTATATTTTTTTATTGTTAAATTTATTTCTAGTTTTAGTAATTATTGTAAGTGCTACTAAACTGTAAATGGATTGCATTCTGTTTGTTTTGCGGTATAAATAAATAAAATGATGACGCGAGGACCCTCATTGGGGGAGGGAGTTCTGACCCCCAAAACCCCCCATGGCTACGCCACTGATAAATATATATCATTGTATCTTTCCCTTCTAGTACACGAGAATCATCTTAATTTTATACATTTTGAGGGACATTTTTTTGAGGTAAACAACCATTTTAAACTATTTTATCTATATTGATCAAGAGTACCTTTTTTAAATATTATTGTTGTGGCTTTATCATACAGGGTGTAAAAAATATTAGCATTATTGTGTTAAAGCTAGTCCGTCTGACAAACTAAATAAGCCAAATGAGCTTAAAATGGTCCATTTTACGGAGTATCCATCGTATTTAAAAATTATTAAATTATACCAAGGAAAAGATTTTCACGGGTATCCATTATGGGACCATATCTCCGAAAAGGGGGGTCGCAGAAAAAAAATATATAAGTTATCATAATTTAAAAGATTTCCTATCTTAAAACTTTAGATAAAAAATAATTTTGAAAAATATGGCGCAAAATTCTCATTGTTTAAAATGGTTCATTTTTTTTTCTAATTTTTAGCATAAAATAATAAAAAAACAAATGTTTATTTTTAGATTTTTCTTGGCAAAATTGCTTGGGGGATGGGTGCGATAATCTTAACCAGTACAAGAGCGCAAGACTTTGATGTGACCGCATACGTCTACATTGACGGTTATTCTGCAATTTTCAGTCGAACTTTCGAAAAATCATCCAACGAAGCATTTATTCTTAAAAATGTGGGATATCATTTTGCTGAAATGTTTTGCGGTTTGTGTATAACTGGAGTAGTATACGCTTATTACAGGCTATTCAAATTGAGACAATTTCAGAGGTATATAAACGTACGTACTTTCTCCTTGCTTTAAATAGTATTAATGTTTAATAAACTTTTATATGAAAAATTTCAGTAGAAATGTTTTTCTTTCTATAAAATAATAGTATACTGTAATGTTTATTTATTTTAAAACACTTTATTATTGAATTTATTTATACTATCTTTTTCTTTATCGGTTGTAAGCAGGTAAAGTTAAGTTGGGCCCAGAACACTGCGGCCTCTTGGGTCTATTGTATTCCTCTGCTTTCCTCGTATTCAGGTACTATCTTTGGAAAAGTCCTGTGTCTTTGGTTAGTTTTAATAAATTCCCTACCAAGTGTTCCTGGGGCGTTCTTTACGGTTCTAGGCCGAAAAGGATGAAATGTCGCCTAGTAAGAGCTTCGCATTCGAAGATCACATGGTATGAGGTTTCTTTTTCTTCCATGCAGAGTCTACACGTAGTGGGATAATTGTGTAATTCCATCACATGAAGGTGTTTCAGCAAGCAGTGCCCCGTTAGTAATCCCACAATGGTGGCTATCTGAGGCCTTGGGAGTTGTAGTGCCTGAGTAGCCATGCGTGAGTTTGGTCCCCTTATCATGAGCTTACTGATTCTGTGCCCTCTTATCTGTTGCCAGTGAAGTTGGTGTTTTGTGGTTATCCACCTGTTCACTGCCTGTCGAGCAGAGGTTTTGCTTATCCCAAATACAGGTTCGGGTCCTGTGAATGGTAGATCTGATCCCTCTTTGGCGAGTTCATTAGCCTTTTCATTTCCTTGGATACCTTTGTGCCCTGGTACCCACGTTAGTTTCACCTTGTTGTGGGTTGCCAGATCATTTAGTATTCCAAGGCAGTTCCAGACAAGCTTTGACTTGATTCTATTTGAATCAAGAGCCTTTAAGGCTGCTTGGCTATCTGAGAGAATTAGGATGGTTTGTTTTCTGTACTTCCTTCTTAAATTTGATTGCATGTATTTCAGCCTAAAATACAGTGGCATGTTTTCCCAGTGAGACGATGATATCGCATTTGGGTTTAATTCCATGTACGCCAGAGCCTGTTCCCTTGTTAGTTTTAGATCCATCCGTATACCATACGAGACCGCAAAGCAATTATTTATCTATCTCCTTATTTACCTCGTCCCAGTTACAGTTGACCTGGAAGAGTCTGTTAAAGGTTAGGAGGGGTGTCATGTGATCTAATCCCATATTTAATATAGAATCATTTACTTCATGTGTTATTCTGGTATGTTTTATATGTCCCAGTGGGTTCCAGTTGTTGGAGATTTCCAGTCTGTGTGCACTCATTCTGGCCTCACCCTTTATGACTAGGTCAAGAGGTGGGAGGTTTAGAATGATTTCCATAGAGGCTGTCGGTGTACTTCTCAGTGCTCCTGTAATACAAAGGCATGCCAGCCTCTGTACTCCTAAGAGGGTATTGAGGGCTGTTTTCTGGTTTACTTTTAGCCACCAAACAACTGCTCCAAAAGTATCATGGGTCTTGTTATTGCCAAATATAGCCAGTGGACCATTTTTGGTTTTAATCTCCATGTTTTTCCAAATGCCCGTCTCCCTACTATGAGACACATTTTACATTTGTTGGTCACTTTTTGTAAGTGTTGGTTCCAAGTAAGTTTGCTATCTAGGATCAGACCCAGATATTTTACTTGGTTCGTTCTGTTTAGCCTTCCTCCAAACAGAGTCGGAGTTTTTAAAACCTCCAAGCATATTTTTCGATTAAAGGTTATGAGTTGTGCCTTGTCAGGGTTTATCAAGAGGTTTTCCCTAACGCACCACATGTCTGTCAGCCTAAGAGCTCTTTGCATGAGTTCAAAGACTGTGGTTTGGTGTTTCCCTCGGATAAGGATGACTATGTCATCGGCATATCCTTGGACGTACAGCCCTTGCTTGTTTAGTGTTTTCAGTAATTCATCTGCCACTAGGTTCCCAATAGAGGAGAAAGGACTCTACCCTGTGGGCATCCCCTGTATTCACCTGCATGGTTTCACTGAACATTTGTGCCTGTACTTGCCGTCCGCATAACATGTCTTCTATCTACCAGCAGATGGTGTCTTCTATTCCATGTTTGCGAGCGGCAGCTACCATTGATTTAAAGGAGGTATTATCAAAAGCTCCTTCTATGTCATCGGGTCGGTGGTGTAGCGGTCTAACGCGCTTATATTTATTTATAAGCAAGTTTATGTGTCAGAGACTGCTGGGCTTCGAATCCCAGACCAGACCATGTGGATTTTTAATTAAATTGCATGGTTCGGTATAGGGTTTGATGTGTGCCGTATTAATAGAAATTTAATTTCTGTTGATATGACATGCAAAATATAAAAAAAAAATCGCCATACATTACCGTCTCGATGATGGTGGGTGAGGGTTTCCGGGTTTTCCATACCTGTAAGTCAAATGGCACCATCAATCATCTTTAAGTCGCCCCGGAGCGCCACGGCAAATAATAATAATAGCCGTCCCTTTCCCCGCACAAGCTCAGCTTTTGGGGTTAAAATTCACTCGTAAGGGGGTGAATTCGGGAGAGTATTATTATTATGTCAAGAAATGCTCCTAGGACTATTTCTTGGCTACTGAGTCTTCCCTCTATCTTGGTTAAAAGATGATGCAGAGCAGACTCATAAGATTTTCCTGATTGATAGGCATGTTGGTTTGTATGAAATGGCCTCTCTATCAGAGAGGTTTGCCGGACATGCTGATCAATCAGTTTTTCCAATCCTTTCAATTGATATGACGTCAGAGTTATTGGTCTATAGGCCTTTGCCACGGCATACGTTGGACGCCCCGGTTTAGGTATAAAGACAACTCTGCTTTGTTTCCAGGTATTTGGTACATGTTTATGCACCAAACTTGCCCTGTAGAGCCTACAAATATGCGTGCCAGCGTTTCTATTGTTTGTTGCAAACGCACAGGCACTACCCCATCTGGTCCCGGTGATTTGTATGGATCGAAGGTGCGTATTGCCTGTTACTTTCTCTGTTGTAATTACCCGTTTAGCAGTTTCCCACTCTTGGCTGGATACTCTTTTTTGAGAGTTCTAGTTTGTGTGGGTTTGGTTTGCTGCATTCGAGTTTGTTGTGCAATCAGTTTTAAGAAGTAGTTCTAATGTTTTCATTCCAGTTTTAGTGTATTCCCCTGTTTGGGTTTTTAAAGTCCCCACAGGGTTTATTGGATCTTTTGCTAGAATGCGGTGGAGTCTGCATCCTTCAGTTGTATTTTAAATTTCCTGACAGACTATTCTCCATGAATCCCTCTTCTTAGATTTCCTAAGAGTTTTGTTATACTCTGTGAGTGTTTTGGTGTATTCCCCCACTCATTCGTGTTTTTAGCCTTATTAAAAAGTATACGTGTTTTCCTTCTAAGTTTGGCGAGTTCGGTGTTCCACCAGCTTACCTCCCTAGAAGTTTTCCTATTCTTTAACGAGCAGTTATTGTGATATGAAGTTATGATTGCGTCCCGTAGTTGTTCTGCAACTTCATCTATATTATTTTTAGTATTAAGAATTATTTTAACGGTTTTAACACTGCCCCCAGCTCCACTCCGTATCCAAACCAATGGGTTTTATGTGGGTCTCGGTATACATCTCCTGGTTTATCGACGTTGTCGATTTCCATGAGCATATGCCGATGATCTGGGAGCGAAGGCTCTCTAGACACGTACCACTTGCCAATGTGATTTGAAACGAAGGAAGAACCAAGGGTAATATCAATAACCTCGCTCCGTTTACTGGTTACAAAAGTAGGTTCGTTTTCACGATTCAATATTTCCAGGTTAGTGGTTAGAATGAATTCATGTAAAGACTCACCTCTTTTGTTGTTGTCCTTGCTTCCCCATGTTATATTGTGTGAATTTGCATCAGCAGCAATGAGTACCTGCAGGTTTTCGCCCCGACAGGTATCTACTAAATTCCTCAGCTTATCTGTTGGTGGAGGGCTGGGCGAGGCATAGGGGTATGCAGAGGTTAAAATCAGTGGCCTCTTGTTGCCTACTAAGTTTTTCCATCCAGACTGCTACTAGGTATCTAAAACAGAAATCTTGTAAGTTGATGATGTCTAGACCATTTCGTATGTATGTACAAGCCCTAGTGTTTCCACATTGGGTATTGTATATTAACTTACCTTTGGTTTGTCCGAGCCCCATCACATGCCCTTTGTAGATCCAGGGTTCTTGTATTAGGGCTACGTCTATGTCCTCCCTGATAATGGTACGTGCAAGGGTTGCGGAGGCGGCCTTGCAGTGTCTAGAATAGCTTGCACTATTCTGAGAATTTGAAGGTTCTTCCTACCTCTTCGTTTGCACTCTGAAGATTGCCTGAGTTAGGCCCAGATAGGGTTTTAACTGCAGGTTTTCTAAAGCCTTCAGAGAGTCGTCGTCAATCAACAGTACAATGGTTTGACCGTTCTCTTCCACTTGCCTGTGAATTACTTGCCACTGTTCCGTTTGGAGCCCTTGGTTTTTATGTTTTGAGGAACGCAAGTACCTTTGATGTTTCCATGTTCTGCATGGGTTTGGGTATCCAGGCCACAACTTTGTTGGTTCGGACGATCTCGCTAGAGGGTCCCACCATAAGTTGTGCTCCCTGCCATGGTTGGCGCGGGGGGATTATTTCGGAGAGCCAGGTTTTAGCGGTCTCATTGGCACAGTTCAAGAAGAGAGCTCCGTTATGAAAATATCCCTTCTTGAACTGTGATACTGATCCCCCCTACTCTTCAAAATTTATCCCATCAGTTTTTCCTGAATCTGACTCGCTTGCTCCTTAGTCAGTTTTTCCTTGGGAAATCTTTAGGCACTACCGCCATTTTCATGGGTGTTAGTGCCTCTTTATAGGACAAGCCACCTTCTACCGCTTGCGCTGCAGATGTGGTTGCCCTTGCTCCATCAGACCCAATTTTAGGCTTCTTGGGGCGATCTCTTACCGTGACCTCCGTTGAAGACGGACTGTCACTTTGGAGGCGACCCCGTTTGAGTTGGGGAGTTTGATTTGGAGTTCGGTTGGCTCCTTTCTTCTCCGTCCTTTTCTCAGCTCTGGGTCTGATTGGTTTTCCTTCAGCCTTAGCCTTTTGAATTGCCAATTTCCTCTTTTGGGCGCCTGAGAGTCGCTTATGCGTTTGATCCATTGTGTAGGTAATCCGGTATTTCCTAAATACCATCAAATGATAGCCACTGTTGATAAAACATTCTTATAAACAAGGGCGGAATCGATTTGACCGTTAAATAAGGATTAAAATTTCAGATAATTTTCTTAAAATTTTGTAATTAATCTGATAGTGATCGTTTTAAAAATCATAGAAAATTTATTTTAATAGTAGCCAGTAAGATGGTTTGAAGGTGTGTTAGCAGTGCACAAACTTTACCGCACTACTGATAAATTAGGATGCGATGCCTACATTTCTTCCGAACTAATAGTAATATTCTCAGAATCCACTTCATGTTTCAGCATTTAAAAACTTATATTTTAAAAATAATTTTATTCAATGAAAAATTAAAGAGATCTTTTTTAATGTTATAACGATCTTGGTACCAATTAAATCGCATTTTAGTCTTCTTTATTGGGCACAAACATTGTAGCTCCAACATGGCTCCAACACCCATCAAACTACAATAAATTCAAATTAAAACTGAGAATTAAGGCATTTAATTACATTTTCTAGAAGTTTAAATTTGCATTTGTCCCAAAAAGCGTTTTTGTATATACAATAAGTGTGCTTTAGACCGACGATATGCAACTTTTGTATTGAATCAGCAGTTGTTACGTACTGGCGATGGCTATTTTTAATTACAAGGACCCTTAGCGTACATTTACATTTTTTTGTAGTTTTTTTTTTTAATTTACTTTTATACCAGCAGGATTTTGGATGGAACGAGGTTGTATAAAATTTGACAATGTGTTTTTAACAAAATTGTACTTCTGTTTTCTGATTTCAGCTCGTCTTCTTTCCACTTTATGAACAACCTCAAGATATTAAAATGATCAAGCAAAGTACTTTGAGGATTTTGTTTCTGCTGTGGTGGTTGATGTGTTATGTTTTAGCAATTTCTTATAAAACTTATCTGTTTTCTTCCAACTTGAATCTATCGACTGATTTAAATACATTAGGAGATTTAGTCAAAAATGGTTTTAAATTTCAGGTATATTAATTCAAAATTAACAATAACGTAGTCTTACTCAAAACATAATTACGAGACAAAAAAACTCCCGTTTTGGGAAACACTATAGGTATTTATTTCTGTGACACTCTATATAAGTTATTTGAGTTTAAAACACTAACTATTGTATACACTTTCAGGGTTACTACTCCGACTATACCTTCATAGAAACAGAATGCCAACGCGCTCCATCATCATTTTGTAAACAACTTATTCCAAGATTTTCAGTTACAAATGATATTTGTCAAACATTTCACAGTATGTTTGATAAGAAAATTGCTGTTATCGGTGAAGTATCTTCTTTGCGATATTTGGTAAGTTTATTTATTTTTTAGCAGTTACTTATGGATTGATATCCGCAAAATTAAAAGCCTTCCTACAACGGTTAGCCACGTTCCATACTATATAGTCATTTACAAAAGTGTATTTGTTGTGAAGCCAAGATCTAAATCATGCCACCTTTAAATAGGAGTGAAAGAACCGATTATGTTATCGTATAATGGCTGAGTTTATTAAAAACATCCATAGGCGTATTTTAAAGGGAAATAGTTACTATTAATTAATTTTCTCAGGAAATCCTTTTTTAATAATAACAGATCGGTTTTTGGTTATTTGCAAACATATTAGAAATCGAAATATTAGGAAGTTATGTTACGATTTGTATCTAACATTTTTGTGGCTAATAGGTATTCAGGTAAATATTTGACATAAATACAGATCAACAATATCAAATTTATAAAATTTTGTAGAGAAATTATCATAAAATGATTTCTTTTAAGGAAACTTTAACGTGAACTTTAAATAAAACCTTCCTTTGGTTAAATCCGTTTTTACGGTTCGATTATAAAATTAACCCCAGAATGGACAAATTCCACTATCTTCAGTTTGATATTTGATGCTATTCTATCAAGCTGAAAATACTCATTTACGTAGATTTATTAGTTTTGTCATATTTTTGTAGTTTGGTCTATTTATTTTTGTAAAGAAAAATAACATTGACATACCTGTTGCTATATAAAAGAAAGAAGATATTGTCGTGGGACCGTTTCTAAAATCGACCCCGTTCTTTATTGACCTTCACCGCTGGGGCGTTATGTTTGTGTTTCCACTTTCGCTACCCGCCCGCCTCAAAGACTAAATGTTTCTTAGTACGCAACCCGGCGCGTGGAGGAAGGATTTCAGGAACTCATCGAAATTCTTCTACCCAGGATTGACTTTTTCTAGACTGTTACATTTTTGTATATAAGTGAATTCTTTTGCCGTTTAAGCTAAGTTTCAATATAAATGTTGTCAAGTAACGGTTAATAATTAAATAAATTACAACTGTGAAACAGACTTAAATATAAATTAATACTTTCGGTGTAAATATATTATAAATAAACTGTTTTTAAGTAAATAAATTGTTTTTAAGTAAATAAACTATTTTAAAATAAACAATCGTTACAATTTATTTCAAAGACTCAATGAAAAAGCCTTTCCCGCTTGTCGGATTTTTACAATTATAATTAAAATATAAATCTACAAATCGTACCCTTACTGCAAATACCGACTATTACAATTTTTAAATGATGGTGACTCATCGAAGGATTATGGTCGGCCGGCACCAATGTATTTCTAGAATTAGCCATAATTCTCCTATACACGATTTTATTGATTTACGTTAAATATTTTTTAATATACTTTGTATGAAATGTCTGAAAAAGTTGACAAGAAATAGGAATTTTTTATTAATTTTACAAAAAAAAAAATATTTATAAAATCCTCTGAGATATTGTAATCACCACCTTTTCGATTACATTGTTTACCATCCCGTCCAATCTCCACATTTTGTCTTCTCTCTTGATAACGTGGGTTACGGCATTTGTCCAATCTTCTTTCCGTATTCGTGCCATTCCGATTTCCAGTAAACGTTGGACGTCACTAATTTTAAATATCACGTTTTCACGGGCTACGTAACCCTTTACTTCAGCTCAAACAAGTTTTATCGGATCAATTCGCAATGGTACGGAGGAAGTCTTAATACGGTTATACCTCGAGCAAGGGCCAATGTATCTAAAACATGCTGATGATATCAGTCTCGATGCTGTTTAATTATGGTTATAAGCTCCCCTTTAACCATGACCACAGAAAAGGGAATTACCTTTTGTCGTAACCAACCTTGCATTACAGCTATAGTGGGTAGACGTTCCACTAAGCGGCTGTGATAAGAAGCGTTATCAAGCAATATCACTAAATTTGGCTCAATCCGTGAAAGTACGGTTTCAACCAACGTTGATCGTCCATGTCTTCGTGATAATCCTCCGTTTTTTAGATAAGAAAACTAAGGCACTGTCGTTTAAAAAACCACTTTCACTACCTATATGGGCGACAATTAGTCGTTGTCCTTTTCCAGTTGGTCCTCGTAATCATGTTGATAGACCTTCCACAAATGCTTGTCGATAACTTAGATACTGTGTGACCAGCATTCACCCATGCTTCATCCAGATGATATATTGCCTTGTTTGCCGAGCGATGTTCCCTTAAAGAGCGAAGATATTTTCGTCGCCATGAAACTATCTCTTCTTTCTATTAACACATAGTTACGAGATCGTCTTGCATATCGAGACTTTAACTCGTGTACTATTTTTCTTAATGTCTCTCGGTTCATTTGTTCATTCTACAATAATTTCCTTCTAACGGATTCCATGGTTAGCGATTTATTTAAAAAAAAAAAAGAATGAATAGCTGTGCGTACCATATTTTTCGACCACAATTTACTTTTGTAGCTTGCACAGTCCCAGTCACCTTCTTTTCACGTACAATGCGTTCAATTATTGCCACGTATACTCTCGTTAAAAATGAACAGCGGTGCAAGGCTTGCATTGTCGAAAGTGTATTTATTAAACCTTCATATACGCTACAGACCATCTGTTTTTCATCGTTTGAAAGAATTTTCCGCTTTCGTTGTGAAATACTTCCAACTTAATGGTGTTAAGATAAAAACCATCAATCATATACCTGCGCTACCATTAGTCCACTCAAATTATTCTTAGAGAAAAAAAAAATGTTAACAGGACTTTGATTTGAAATGTAGCGCTGTAAAATTTAAAACCTTCGACTAAAAAAATGTATTTGACTGAATCTTAATCATTCTACTTAAATGTTTTAAGAAATATTATATATAGAAAATTAAGAATTCTGGTCAAAAAATAAAAAACATTTTTTGTTTATATATTTTTTCCATAATAAAAGTAAATCTACCTAAATTATGATAATTTAATTTGGAGTCTGCATCATTCTCTAATTTATGAAAAAATATTTGCTTGCATTTTTAAAAAAATTCTAGGATTAAACATATTATTACCAAACCATTCTAAAAATAAAATAAAATATTTAAAAAATATACCACATAGTTTAAAAATATGAATTTGAAAAATACATATCCCAGACAGCACACCAAATCCTTCGGATATCTACTGGACATTCCAATATCCACTGAATGTCCAGTCCATGGTGGATATCTATTTTATATCCATGAGATGTAATTTATAGAGATGCAAATGTCCATAAATAATAGTAATTATATAGCAAATTATTAAAAAATTACGCCATTGTGGCTAATAGTGCCGTTCAGATATTTAAAATAATTTTTTTTAAGGTGTATTCAATATCCCATGGATATCCACTAAATATATCAAAGTCTAGGTGCGAACGCAAACCATGGTGGATATCCACTAGATGTAATTTTTGATTTTGCCCACTAAGAAGAAAGTCATTCTTGGACCGGTTTCGTCCTTATTAGAACTAGAATTATTTCCTTTTTTAAGAATAGCCCGCCTGGCTTTTATTCCACCTAGTCTCTGAACTAGGTACTACAGTCACATTTGATTTTGCTTACTAAGTATAGATGGCGATACCACTTTCGCTCGTTGAATATATACTCATGCTCAACCCGCCGTAATTGAGTTCGATTGAAATTGGTATTGCAATCAGACTCCATTAGAGACTGTGTAAGGGGTTTTCTCGCCTCAGAGAAAACGATAACTTACAAATGACGCCTGTTGACGGGACGGCTCTCGGGCGCCAGATTTGATGTGTGGTTTACTCCACAAACTTTCGAAACGGCGTCGAAAGTACTCGGGCAGCACAGATGGAGATGAAAAATTCCAGGGGTCGTTGGTCACTCAGACACAGGTAATAAGTAACCACAAGTAACGGGCTTTAATCGTCACTTGTAGTGATAAAGAATTTCTCGCTGCTGAAATAAAGGGGGAAGTAAATTAGGTATCAGTAACCTCAGTAACAGTCAAGGTAACGTTGACACATATATTGAATTTTAACTATTTACAATAAAAAAAATAAATAAATATTTCAACGCCCACCCCCGCTCGTAATTTTAAAACCCTGAACAAAATAAAAACAAACAGATCGGCCAGTAATGATTAGTCTCAATCAGACGGTAGAATTAAAATTAGAAGAAAGATGCTCGGTGGCAATAGTATCTAATTAATAAATTTGTCGGATCGGTGGTTGAGCCAAAACGAAACCAAAAACAAATAATGGCGGTCGTAGCAAAAGTTAATTAGTTAACTCTTAAATCGGCATAAAGATTACAGTTAAATATTTTGTTTCGTAAAAAAAATTAAAATCACGGTCGTAGTAAAAGTTATCTGGTTAACTCTCTAGTCGGTATTGAAACTGAAACAAACCTCCTTGTTTTAGTGAATGGGGAATAGATAAATGATAAGAAAACGGGATAGTATCAATCCTATGAGGAGTGCACTCGCCACAACCAGCACGCTCAACATAAAAATGATACTATCATTTTAATCACGGCGCGGAGGTAACTAAAAGAAAATAATCAAAATCCGGGTTAGTATTCAATCCTATGAGGAGTGCACTCGCCACAACCAGCACGCTCAACATAAAAATGATACTATCATTTTAATCACGGCGCGGAGGTAACTAAAAGAAAATAATCAAAATCCGGGTTAGTATTTAATCCTATGATGAGTGTACTCGCCACAACCAGCCCACTCAAACACAAAACAAAATATCAAACCGGGTCAGTATTTATCCTATGATGAGTGTACTCGCCAAAACCAGCCCTCTCAAACATAAGAAAAACACTAATATGTTAATCACGGATAGGGGTTAATCTAAATAAAATCTAAAACCGGGATAGTATCTAATCCCATGTGAGCTTTCTCGCCACAACCAGTCCACTCGACATGAAAAATGATACTATTTCAACTTTCCAACTTTCGAACTAATTCTATTCCCAAGTAAAGAAACATAAATAAAAAAAAGTTAAACCAGATTGTGAATAAATAGAAACAAAATTTACGGTCGTAGTAAAAGTTAAGTAATTAACTATGTACGGAATTTAATTTAAATTTATTATTACTTAAAAAAATTAGGAACAAAATCCACGGTCGCATTGAAAATTAACTAATCAACTGTATACGGAATTTAATTTGAAATTAGGTTTACTATTACTGTAAAATAGAAACACAATTCAGTCGTAATAAAATTAATTAATTAATAAAATAGAAACAAAGTTTCTATTTCCTAATAACCAAAACTAATTTCCAATGTTTCTAAATAAAATCAAAACTAAATAATTTATCTGTAAATCAAAATATTTTTAACGAAAATCTGAAATCAATTATTATTTCTATTAAATAAAATCGAAAACGGAATAATTATTTCAAATGAAACCGGTATTCGAACGTTTTAACTCAAGAACCGTCGACAAAAAAAAAATGTAAACAAATTCGGTGTACCTAACTACGGTATCGGCGATAATTTTCAGCGGTGTATAGCCTTGGTTTCTTTGAACACTTCGTCGCGGTGAGCGGACAGTCCGTCAACCGTCGCGTTTTGACGATTTTATCCAACCAGAGTATTTAAATGGGAATGGTTTTCTTGAATCCGCTTAGCTGAGCAGGACGGCGTCATGCCGCTGATTTGTCGCGAAGAGTCGGTTGATATCTGTTGAGTTTGATATCAGCGGAATCGTCGGCGTGTGCGGAGACTATATTGTTATTAATTTTAAAACAATAAGTGACAAATTCACACATACAGATGACATCATAACTTTATTTTTAGGTTTCTTGGAAATTATGTTCTTTATAAAACTCAACACGAATTCAAAAAGATCTGTAGAAAGTCTAAAATACTCCCTAAATTTGATTTCATTTCCAAAAAGCCTCCGCTGCACAGTTATATTAAAGCACCTTCTGTATCGCGACATAAAAACAACTCATCCACTGGCTTATTGGAAACTTTGACGGTTGCAATTGCAAGGTTCCTCTTGTTCTTCCTCTTCCAACAATAATAACAACGCAAACAATTTATTTGCATCCATTTTAGTACCTTTCGTTTACATTCATAATACATAAACAGCACGTACAGACATAGAGAAAGTATCATTTTCTATATTTTTTAACAAACCACCTCGGGCGAAAATTGCTGTTCTCAGCGGTCGACAGACTGTCCGCTCACCGCGACGGAGTGTTCAAAGAAACCAAGGCTTATATCGGAGCAAAAGCAGCAGATGCTAGTCGAATCAGTAAAGTCAATTGAATGAATTTTTAAACCGAATTCTGAATTCCAGTCTCTATGCCCAAGCAGGCCAGCTCCCCACTCGATGTGCGCGAAGCGCGCGCGCTATCGTTACTCAGGTAAAATACGCGAATTTAAATGAAACAAAATTTGATATACAGGGTCTACCCAAGAAGTTAATATAAAATAAAAATAAAAATTTATATCCGGAATAGGCCGAAATATAGTAATGAAAATTGACTTCATTACAACTGGAGTCGAGAATTTCTATTTATTGCTGAAGAGTCCTAATAAGAATGACTTTCTCCTTAGTGGGCAAAATTAAAGGCAGAGTTATTCAATAATCATTGGTTACTTATGAACCTCTACTAAAGATACCCATAAAATATTTTGCTGAATATCCATAGAATATCTTATATATCCTGGGATATAGACGGACATTTGGATATCCATATTAGATCCACTGGATATATTGGATATCCACAAAATATATTATGTGGATATCTCTGGGATTTCTTGTATTGTCTGGGAGATACCCATTAGATATTTTGCTGGATATCCATAGGATATCTTCTATATTCTGGATATAGACGGACATTTGGATATCCATATTAGATCCACGGGATATTTCTGATATCCTGTGGATATATTGGATATCCACAAAAGATATTCTGTGGATATCTCTGGGATTTGGTGTGTTGTATGGGATTTTATTTGGTTTGCGTGTCTATAACACAAATTAAAATATTGAACAATTACGTACTAATGGGAATTGTACTGAATTTATCAAACCAACAAATCTGTGCGGGACCCACCCTCCTAGAACGAATCCTAAATCCGTTACTGAAATATTTACGACCTTCTTGCAAATATCGATTGTTTCTTATTACGCTGTTGTCATGTTTCACATTTCTTTCAATAAAGAAATAAAGTAATTGCATTACTACTATTAAGAACACCGTAAACTTGGCATCAATGTTCAATCAAAATATTGCATTTCTGTCAAGGACGCTTAGAATGTGAATCCGTCTTGGCTCCAGAAATTTTAAAAACAATCCTATCTGTCTTTGGTTATGTAGAAGATTTTCATTAACTTTGCTTTTATGTCGTTTTTTAAAATTTAATTTTTAGTTCTATAAATCCTGTAACATGAGCTACGATCAACGAAACGAAGTCTTGTTGGTAAATGATTTTTTATTCGGCCCACAATTACACTTTTGGCCAATGGAAAAGAATTCCATTTTATCCGAACCTTTCTTAAAAATAATTGGCATCTTGAATCAAGCAGGAGTTTACCCAGTTTGGTGAGTTATTTTACTTCATACTTTTATAAGCCAGCCATCTTATTTCATTCATTTGAACCAGCAATGATTTGTAACATCATTAATCACTGTTGCTAATGAGAATTAATTAACATACAACAAACTTAAACATTACAGACCCACTTGTACTGCGGGGCTGTAGCCTTACAGTCCTTAGAGACAAGCGCCACTGGAACGGAAACCTTTAATTTTAGAGAAATGCTGGGTTAAATAAAATCACACTACTCTCAGTAAATACATTGCCTACAATACTATATTCTGTTCCTTTAAAAAATTGATCTAGTAATATTTCATTAAATGTATCATTCAACCAACTTAATACAATTTTTTTCAGGAATAATATGGAACTAGGTTACAGAGAAGCATTAGAATCCAAAATGACTAAAGTGGGAGTCAATTTAATGGCGATCAGCATGAAAAAATTAGCGTTGCCATTCAGTTTACTAATTTTTGGTAATATATTGGCTATTTTGACTTTTCTTGTTGAAATAATATACAAAAGCAGAATGAAGAAGAAACATTTTTGAATTCGCTAATTATTAACCACTGCATAATAGATTAAAATTTTGATGATTATGATGATGATAATATGCGCAAAAAATAAATAAAATATATCTTTTTATTCATTAACTTGATTTATTTATACTCAAATACTGTACTAATTTATTTAGACATTCACTTTTATTCAATAATTTATATGGACATTTATAATTTGCTCACAGCGATATCTCAACTCGAACTGACTGATAACAGCAAAAGTGGCTTCTCTGTCTCTGTTACGTGTGGAGGGTAGATTAACACACTGTACTTAGGCCTCAGTAGGCCCATTGTGCATTCTTCTAAGTAGATAGGCACCTCCTAGCTCGTGAGCCAGCCAACAGATTAAAATGTAGTTGACAACGTCGCCAAGAGATGCTTCTCTTATATCGGCCGGTGTTAGCCAATTCTCGCCGAACACAAATCTTCTAATAAATGAGAGAGTCAGGCAATCGTAGAGGATATGCTCGAAGGTCTCATCTTCTTGTTCGCATCCTCTGCATAGTGCGGATTCTGCCAGCCCCATGATATGGAGATGCTTTCGTAGTTGGCAATGTTCAGTCAGAATGCCTGTGATTAGATAGATTATGTCTAGTTATAGTCAAGTATTTGTCTGCTGTAGTGTTTTCAGGATAACTTAAAAGCTTCCTGGCAAGCCTGCAGCTTTTTGTTTCATCCCAGCTTTTCTTGAATTTCACAAGGGAATGTTTTCTAATTAGGTTTGTCACTACCGATGTTGTCAGTCCAATAGAGGAGCCAAGTCCAAAAAGTATTTGGTTGGCTGCCTTCTTGACAAGTGAATCAGCAAGACCTTTCGATGTGGCGTGAGCTTTGATCCATCTTAAGTTGACCACATTGTTGATGGATACTACCGCCAAAGCTTGGTGACATTCTAGTACTATATATAAGTAGAAATAAGTAAACCACTTATTACAAAAAAAAAACATTTTCAACAACGTCCATAAAAGCAAATAAAATATGTTGACTCGTGTCACATATGTCATATACCTATTTATTCTCAGTTAAGTACTTTATCAGGAAGTTTAGGGTCTTTTCACCTTCAGATAAAGTTCCAGATAACTGACATATATTATCTGAGAGCTATTATCTGTCAGATAATTAATTTTGTCTTTTCAAGTAAGGGTCGATCTTTTCACCCTCAGATAAAGTGTCAGGTAATCGTTATCTCCCAGATAACTTAAAAAATCATCTTTTCACTTTTGGATAAAACTAACCAGCAGAAAAATTGGTCTAATCTGAAAGATAATCTTACCTCTGAACTTCCTGATAAAGTAGTTAACTGATAGATAAGTAGGTATATGACATAATAAATAATATGCGATACGAGTCAACACATTATTTTATTTGACATTATGGACGTTGTTGAAGATGTTGTGTTTTTAAAAATAGTGGATTACTTTTTTGTTTCGTATAGGTAATTTTATATTTTTTATTTTCGAAAAAATACTAAGCTGTATAATAAAAAAACAGCCTTTACGTTTATAAAATAGTTTATGGCAAATAGTGTAAACTAATACCCTTCGCACCAATATTACATACATACAGAATAAAAAACTACACCTTCGAAATATTCAATTTAATCAAATGAACAATCTATTTTAATTATAATTAAAGACCGGACATTTTAATCGCGTTCAAATAATTGGTTTTAATCACATAGGCGTCTCATTCTGGGTTCGCTATTTAAGACGGCAGACAGTGCGGCAGATTCTAATACTATCAGGACAAACCTCTTTTTTTTATTAAAACAAGATAAAAAAAGTGTACTGATATATACATAGACATTAAAACTAATACAAAAAAGTGAGATTTTTTTTTATCGTGTACCTATATTCTTTGTCTTTTGAATCATTTTCATTAAACAAATTTAATGTTTTCTTCTCACCAACGCCGAGGATATGTAGGATATTTTACAAAAGTTTTTAGTAACCTCAGATCCTTTAATTTGTGGCCTGAGAAATTTTCCTTAAAAAAAAATAACTTTTTTGATGAAGATGTTAAACTTTTCATAAGCGAGTTTAAGGTGTAGTAATGTAAACGATATTCTGTATGATATTTTTTTTATTATTATCTCTTATATAATTACAAAATATCTATTCCTCAATATTTTGGCGTGGTACACTACTCTCCTGCCTAAAATGAGGATCGAGGACCCCAGCTGCCTCCCCCGAATTTGTTATTTCCTCCAGAAAATTGGAAATTTCTAGCCTTAGCTGGTCCCGATTCATTGTTGGAGAAATTGCATCGGGGCCAAATATTAGGACTCTACGAGCGTTTGGACTAAGACGCTGTAGAGAGGGCCTAAAATGAATGTCAAATAGGCCCATCATATGTTGTCTTATACTTTCTCGATCCATTGTCGGTTAGTTGCCGGTGATATTTTTATTCAAATAAAGTCAATCCTTATATTATATTTATGAATATTTTGGCTTTTATCGATACCGTACATACCGATTTTTTGTAACAAAACATTTATGTTTTTATTTCCTGTGGATATTATGGTACTTATACACGATGAGACAATAAAATAAATGTCTGTTAAATTTCTGTAATGTATGTATTAATTCAATTGCTCACTCTATATAGGTATCTGTTGGTTGAAAAAATGTAAAAAGATAACAAAGAGTCGATAAACAGGAGATTTGAGAAGAAAGTGTCTTGTAAAAATATCACTAGATTTTTCCAATGAGTATATTTGTTTAGTTCAAAGGGAAAAGTGATAGAAACTGGAAACGTAAATATGGAAAATTTATTATCTGACTTTGATTGTTTTCGTCGTTTTAATGACAACAAATTATACTGCCGCAATTGTGATCAGGTGTTAGTTTTTAATGGAAAGTCAAGTATGACACAACATGTGAAAACACAAAAACACATGCAATCTTTAGAGGGATGTCCAGACAAAATCTTTTATGAAGATTTATGCAACGCATTTGTTTCTGCAAATATTCCATTAACAAAATTAAATAATACAATTTTCAAAAATTTTCTTTGTAAATATACTAAACGTAAAATACCGGATGAATCCACAATTAGAAAACATTATATTCAAAATCAGTACGATAAAGCAATGACGGCAATAAAAACGAAAATTTCCAGCAAATATATTTGGGTTAGTGCAGATGAAACGACTGACATAAAGGGTAGATGTGTTGTTAATGTTGTTGTAGGATTATTAAGTGCTGAAAATACTTCACAACAGTATTTAGTTTCTAGTGTGTTTCGTGAAACTGTGAACGCTGAAATGATTTATGAAATAGTGAAACGTGGATTGAACAATGTAATTGATAATGACGTTTCAAAAGTTTTATTGTTTATTTCAGACGCGGCAAGTGTAATGTTGAAAACAGGGAAACTATTACAAGAACATTTTCCAAACATGCTGCATGTAACTTGCCTTGCTCACGCGTTACACCGAGTTTGTGAGTTTATCCGTGACAGCTTTCCAGACATTAATTCGTTGATTAGCTGTTTTAAAAAAATTTTGTTAAAAGCACCGTCCCGAGTTTCTTTATATAAAGAAATATGTCCGAATATCCCCCTACCTCCACAACCAGTTATTACACGATGGGGAACTTGGTTACAGGCTGTGTTCTTTTTTTCGGAGCATTTCGACAGACTAAAAGTATTTATTTCCAACTTATCAGAGGACGCTCTCTCTATCACTCAGTGTAAAGGTTTAATAACAAAAACAACTTTGCAGTCGGAGTTAAATTTTCTTGCGACTTATTTTTCGTGTCTCCCAGAAACTATAAAATTCCTTGAAACCCGTAACTTACAATTATCGGTTGCTATGGAAAAATTTGAATCGACATTGTTACACTTAAAAAACGTAAAGTGGCCCTTACAAGATAAATTTAACCATAAAATAGATTGTGTTATTAAAAGAAATCCAAATTTACAGACTCTGAAACAAATCTCCCTGAACAATTTTAACGATTATGAAACTGCTTTAAAATATTGTGATTTTGTTCCACATTTTTCATTTGCTCCTGTAACGAGTTGTGACGTAGAACGATCGTTTTCTAGGTTTAAAGATTTATTGACTTCTAAAAGAAGTAATTTCACTGAAGACAATTTAGAAAAATATGCAGTCATACAAACATATTTTTCAAATGAAGAAGATTGATATTAATTTGTATTGTATATATTGTATATAATTGTATATTTGCTACTTTAGGATAAAGAGTGTATATTGGAACACTCTAAACATAAAACTAATGATGGTGTATCCTCGTTGATATATTTATTAGTCAATAATATATTAACAGAAAAAGCCAACATTATCCCACAACACAATAAAAAAATAAATAATAATATCATTTGTAATTATATAATAATATCCAACCAAATTTGAACTAAAATTTAATAAAATAATTATTGCAATGTAAATGTAATAATAAGCCCGCCCCAAATGTTACGCCCGGGCGATAAAAATCCAATATCTTATCTACTGTGTCGACCAGTTCAGTAAATAACTTGTTTTATTCAGAATGTATTATTCAAATCGAAGGTCCGCTCTTACCGTTACTTCGCTGATAAGAATAAATTAAATTGTCCGGTCTTTAATTATAATACAATAGACTTAAGAATCAATTTTTTATTTGGCAGTACTGCTTTGTGTTTCAAGCATCTCCTTGCTTATTGAAAGTTGGTCGATGTTTTCTGTTTTGTCACTTGCTTTATGGAGTTTTAAATAAATATTATCATAAAAATACAAAAACCTTTCAACTAAGTGACAAACCGAAATAATGACAACAAGTGACAGTGAGAATGACATATTGCATGTATAAATAAATTGATAGGAAGGTAGGTACATGACCATAGAACGTTAAAAAGTACCAGATAACTATCCTACAGATTCTCTTGAAAAGACGGAAACCTCATTATCTGTCAGATAGTAACTCTCGGATAATATACCCTTTGGTTAGTTAACTGAAACTTTATCTGAAGGTGAAAAGACCGACCCTAAATAATATTATGTATGGTAGGTATCCAGTAGTTTTTAACCTTATGTGGTTATAATGTTTATCCATCAGTGAAATATTTTATCAAGAATTCCATAAGATATCTTTCAGAAGTTAGGTTCATACAGAAGTGAAAAGATTATTTTTTAAGTTATTTGGGTGATAGAAATTACCCAATACTTTATCTGAAGGTGAAAATACCGACCCTAAGGGTCGATAAAGGTCAAATAAAGTTCCAGTTAACTAACCAACGGATATATTATCCGAG